TATATATATATATATATATTATATATTATATATATATATATATATATATATATATATATATACACCCATTTGCAAAAACGTTGGCCGCAGATAGTTAGATAGATAGATACTCGAAATTTAATTAGAATTGCATATGTTGTATATTATGATAATTGACGCGACTTATAGCGGGGGGGGGAGTCCCCACTAAGACCTCCTGAAACCATTTAGCTAAACAAAACGTAATTCCAATTAATCGCTTCTATATTGTATTCGTAATAGTCGTTACGTTTTGAAGTAAAATACTTAACTTTAGACGCAATTACGCTTATTGATTATAAGGTTCAATTGATATGTAGCTTATTATGTACAGCTGTAACGTTTATTAAAATGCCAGCTCCATTCAGTCTAGACCAGCGATATCGGATAATCTTGCTTTTTTTTCGGGGAAGGAAGATCTAGCCAAGAATTTCTAATACATGCGTTAATGCTCTTGCTAACTAAGTATTTGGAAATCGCCATTTTAGAATCCAGGAATCATACGAAATTATGGTGCAAGTCCGCGTGGTTCCATTGCGACGAAACAGTATATTTGGAAGACAGGCCCAAAACTTTCAATCGCCGCAGCTATTTCAGTCAGAGGAATTGAAGCCATTAAGTTAACGGGAATGTCTATGAATGCCAGAAGATTTATTACAGTCATGGAACGTGATCTCACGCCAATTCTAAGTCCATACGACGGGTTCAACGCAAATTCTGTAGTTACATTAGTTTTGTGGTAGATTTATATAATTACACTCTACGAAAGAAGTGCAGGAAGAGAGCCTTATATGAAGAAAGATGTTTTTATATTTTATTTCAAGATTACTTTACTGATACTATATTGCAACCATGATGAAAACGTTGAATTCGGCTAATTATTTCAAATAACCATCCGGTGCAACATGTAAGAGAAGTGAAAGATATAATTCAGAGAACCGGAGCAATGTTGATTTTACTTCCTCCGTATTGTCCACAACTAAATCCGATCGAGATGGTTTTTGCAAAGGTAAAGAACTGGATCAGGGAACATGAAATCTTATTCTTGTCAACAAATAACCATAGATTGTTGGCTCAACTTGCCTTCTGCCATGCATTTAACTCAGATCTATGGGCCTGGTTTCGACACTGCGGCTACATATAACTAAAACGAGTGATACTTTTATGTGCATTAATTACCTATAACTTGTTAAAACCAATTTAATAGTTTGTATCTTGAGCATATCATTTTTACTGTCACTCCAAATAAATCAGTATGCATGCATATTTCAATCATTCTTACTGATATGATATCACAACGAAATTACACAACTAAAATATAAAAAATAAAACAATTATAAAATATGACTAAAAGTTCATAACAAATATCAATATATACATAATCACAACAACTGCACATGTCGATTATAAACGCCACAGTTCGTTAACAATGATTTGTTTTTGCTCAGTAAATTCCTCCTCGTCCAAGGCACCTAAACTCCTTAATTCTTGAAGTGATTTCATTTGATTTATCAGCTGTGTTCGGCTACTCTACATGCAAAGAAAAATTAATAAAAAACATATCGGTTAAGCTAAACTGGCGATAAAATGCATAAAAAGTCAAATGTTATGCTTATATACCTTTACAGTGAAAATTTCATACCAGTGCGTTCTTTGACGTACTCAGTAGTTGCGTTAGCTGGATCCTTTAATATCCCGGCATTAGCTACCACTGCAGAGGCAAACGCTTCAGTGAGAGTTTGATCCTCTCTGGTGTTGCTTTTCGTTGATTTTGATTTAGCTCCTCCAAGAATAGGAAGGCTAGGTGCCATTTCATAACTATCGTGATGGCCCATTTCCTAATTGGTTTAAATTCAGATATGTGTACATGCATTCTTTTAACCGCACGTTGTTATAATATGACAAAATATAATTATATTGTACGCGCATGTGCACTGCATGGTGCATGTGGATATATTTTAATAAAACTAGTGTTGTTTCCCCAATTAATACCAGCGAGACAGACAGCTGCAATTTTATTTATGCCATATATTGCTAATATATTTAAATATCCATGATCATACGTACCATTGTTTGAGTCCAGAGCATCAAATGTCCACGTGGATAATTTTTCCCGTGCAGTTCTTCTAGCTTATTAAATATCTCACGTGCACATTTACTGCTTTTTCTCCATTTCTTAGATTTAGATGAACGGCTTGTGAGAAAATTGTCGTCTTCAGACAGTTTATCGCTTTCGCTGGTGTCTAAACAAATTTGAATAACGTTTTGACGATTAATTATGAACATAAGCTAAAATCAACCATGCATTCAATATTGAGAAGCCCCGTTACACGTTCTAAAACAAAGCAAAAATATCTCACCGAAAAAGTGCTTGTTGCCTGCCTCCTGTTTTTTCTTTGCTACAAAGAGGGTTGCCTTATTAGTCCCCTCCAAATAGCAAAAAGCATCTTCGAAATCGCTTTCCGTCTTCATGTGCTTCTTACTATTTTTTTGGCCGATCCAGCCAAATTCAATTTCCTTCTCTGAGGCCGCACCGACTTCATCCCCGAAGTAGGAAAAGAACGTCTCTTGCATTTGTTCTATATTCTTTACCAAGCAGAAAGATTCTAAAGAGTGTTACTTTCTTAAACTGTCGAGTATCCTTCGGGTTAATAACGCTTACTATGACATTTGTCAAATCCATCTATATCTCTTTGTCTGGCTGTGCATGTAATATAAAAAGCACACCATCTTAAACGACAATATTAATGATATTCATATAGTTGTAGTTTTGTTCTCATCAATATTGAGGATTGTCTCCTCAGGATTGTCTAGTATAATTACCTTTCTTCCAGACATTATACTTTACAAAATATTGACGTTTTGCTCGATAAATACTGTTTGCGAGAGGCTGCGTTAACAATACGAAACAAAGGTAGTTAGTTTATCGCTGCAGAAGGGAGAGTTATAAGGGTAATGCGCCATTGAACAATTAAGTCTTTATACTTATGACTTATCTATGCTGGGTGCCTGCAATTTGTAGGTCGTCGTTTAAATTAAAAAGGAAACGGTTGAGATATAAACTTACCAACACGCTAATCGATTCAAAATAGAGCACAACAATACGATCTTTTACATAATAGAGAAGAATAGATCAATTGGATGGGACTACATTTTGTTTAGATCAATTAATACGCGGTTCAAGAGTTCCTAGCAAGGCTTACCCCCCCCCCGATTAAGTTTTCTTAATTATCCTATTACACAACATGCATATGCAATTTTAATTAGATTTTGAGTATCTATCTATCTATCTATCTGCGGCCAACGTTTTTGCAAATGGGTGTATATATATACACTGTTAATTTTGAAGTGTTAAAATAGCACCACCGTAGGTGCCAAATCAACACCATGCGGTGGTGTTAAATAGAAAGTGCTATTTTGGCACCAACTTCGGTGCTAATTTAACACCACCAAATCTGGGATTACGCTAAAAGTGTCAATATGACACCATATTACCAGCACCATTGTTAGGTGCCAAAATGACACCTCTTTTGCCGACGGAAAGTGTTAAAATAACGCCATATAGGGAGTTAAATATGGGGTGTCAAAATAACACCAAATGGCGGATAGGCCGGGAAAGAGCATGTTTGTTTGTTTTTAAGTTATTGGAAAATAAATTTGTATTTTTGATTCCCGTGCGTTTTCGCACAACTATTTATCTAAAAGACGACATGGAAATTCGGCTTGTAGCTATGAATACGTCAGTTACGTTTCTATATATAAAAAACCCCGAGATACATCGATAGTGATCGATTGTCCTTTTTATTTTATCAAACTATGTTATTTTGTGCTATGTATTGATTGCTAAAAAGTAAATATTTCGCAATCGCGTATAGGCATACGATGTATGTATAAGGAACGAAATATGACACGTGTAGGCGCTTGCATGCAAATTTTTTGAGCGCGTCGTTTGAAAACTCATCTGAATCGTATATTCATCGAGATGTTTATGCTGCTGTGTTAAAGACGTTTTGAGCGTATTTACTCAACTATTTCTGTACTTCTAAATATCCTGAACAACAACGGACTCCTATAACGAAATTTCAAGGCAATTGGTTGTGGTATTATCTCAGAAACATCTTGGTAAGAGTTTTTGAATTTGATGAAATACAGACACATACAGTATCCATGTTCGCTCAAAGTCAAACGGCTAAATCGCCAAACAAACAAATGTGTGCTATTTTTCTATTCTAGAGAAGCCAAATGACGTATTCTATTTTACTGCGATCACTTCAGGAAGCTGTGGTCAAAGAAAATATCATTGCAATAATAGGTATCTATTCATATTTACTTTACCGTAATTTTATGCGTCTTCGCTTGTCTCTTATATTATTGACATAATTTAGCGATATTTTATCCTATATCAACGATTGTCCGTGCTCTATTTTCATATATTAACGATAATCCTTGCTCTATTTTGATAAATTTGATGTTAGAGAGCAAGTTATTTGTTTAAAATCAATGCCTGTGTATGTCTTTTGATAAAATTATTACTGTAAGAAATATAATCTCCTACAGATTACCTGAGAGTCCCATTTAGCCTGTCATTTTTCAAATTCACATTTATATTTTAGTCAAACAACAAAGTATGTTTCCATAATTTAGTAAAATCATTTTCTTTTGCAAGTAAGGTTTGCAACTGAACACATTCTATTATTTTGTTGCAGGTAAAGTGGAAGTGAAATGTGCAAGAACAAATTGGTCCATGGTATGGCTGGCAAATTTCAATCAGGAATGCCAAAAATTGGGCCAAGAAGTATGTATTGGTTCTTTCGAACAGGATAGAAACAAGAAACAAGATTAGCTGCACAGAGAATCAGGTAAATCATGCAATTAATATACTATAATTTTCCCAAGGACAAAATTACAATGTCACTTGTAGTTTATTGCCCCAAAATCTGCAATTTAGATTGTCTTTATCCAATGCTTAGTGTGCCTATTATAGTTTTGGTAACCTAACTAGATTTTCTGCTATTGATATTTGATAAACAATTTGTTTTTCAAAACAGACATTAAGAGCACAGCTTGTGGTTGCTTTAGGTCTAACTAAAGGAGAATCTCTCCTCTTTATGCTAAGAAACCTTGTGGGCTGACTTGACTTGCTAATAATACTAATGATTATTGATAAATTTATCTTAGGGTTGATGACTCCATATACAGATGAGGACATACAAATAATAAAAAATGGCCATGGAAGAACATGCTGGGAAGTGAGTTTTTGTGGATAAATTTATACGAACTTGACATTACTTGTCGAAAATTGTAATGTTGCATTATAAGAACTTGACATTGATTGTCGAAAATTGTAAATAATTGTCTGGTTGTTTTTTGTAAATAGTCCTACAGGAGCAATTGTAAATATGCAACTGTGACCAAATATATTGATTTTTAGTTTCCTTGTATAAGTGTCATTAATTTTGATTTAGATATGATTACTGCTGTTAGAACTGCACATTAAATTGCAGTAGGTAAAAAGGTGCTGCTTTAACACCAAATGTAGTGCTATTTAAACACCCAAAGGTGTTATTCTGACACCAGAATGGGCGTTAATTTAGCACCAGGGATTGGAGTTAATTTAGCACCCAGGTCATGGTGTTAAAATAGCACCTCGACAGGTGTTATTTTTGCCATATTCATTCAACACCTTTTTTGGTGCTAAATTAACACCTTCAAATTAACAGTGTATATATATATATATATATATATATATATATATATATATATATATATATATATATATATACATATAAAGAAAGACACGTAATTGATCTCATGTGTTCAATATTTTAATAATATAATAACGATATTTGTGACCTTTCACGGGAAAACATACGTTAACGCTATTTCGTTCGTTCGAAAATATCGTTCGTTATCCGTTCGTTTGCCGTTCAAACGCTTGAAGCGTTCGTTGAAATGATTTTCGAGATCGTTCATCGTTCGAAATTGCCCGTTCGAACGCTTAGGAAAAAACGTTTGAAAATTGGTCCAAAAGCATTCAACCGTTTGATATACCGTTCGTTGAAACGTTTGCCGGAATTTCGTTCAATCGCATTGGATTTGGTTCAACATATTAGATTAAACATTTAAGCGGCAAAATGAGCAAATTTGAAATGGCGCCTATCAACTGTTTATGCGTGCATGAGCGCGGGGGTAAAGATCTTTACCAATAATTTCGCGAAGACTGTCCCAAATATTTGCTGGATATTAGCATATATGAAGAAGTCAAGGCGTTTTAACGCGTGCATATATAAAGGTTAATACCAGGTATGAACACTAAATGAAACAGCTATGATATAAGGAAAGTCATGACGGGGCCACTTTATTAGGCGCGCTTGCAATTATTTTCCTGCAAGCATTGAAATCAGGCTTATCCATGAAATCATCAACTGAATTCGTATAACGGTTGTCTCGATTTAAACTGAAGTTTTTTTTCCCTTGAGTGTATTTGCTTCGCTAAACTGTAGCTCCTTTTTGACCATGCATATATCGAAATATGACACGCATTCGAAGTAAGATTTCATATAGATGATCATGCAATTGTATATAACAAACGTTCTCAATTGCATTTTATGTATATGTTAACGTGAGTAAAATGTATTCGAATATAAATGCGCACTGCAATATAACCTTTTAGATTGTTTATCATGGCCGGTGGAATCAAGTTGGGCCACGATCATCCAATCATTCCGAATAAACATGACATGAAAGGTTGCCAGACCTTGAAAATGGCTTGGCTGAGGTTGGAATTTAAGTTGTTAGCTTGGGCCGTGGTGGTTACAATTTATAGGATGCATTTACTTACATTGAAACAACAATTGTTTACAAATTTTCCTGACATTTTTCATAAAAAAGGGTAGATGCTACCTCGAAATATATATAATTATATGATATAAAAAAATTTCGCAAGACAAAATGGATTAATGCTTTCATGCATGTCTTAAATAATCTTGATTAGTTAATTTTACTATATGTATTATATATTTAATATCAAAAGTATTAATTAGCGATATACTGATTCAGTCAGTATATAACACATGCATATGTGATCGTATGGTCACAAAACATATCACTTATATGAAAAAATATGGCGGCAGAAATAGGGACATTGCAGCTTTAGCTTTGCGAAGAAAATATAGCGATGGTGCATGCAGTCGATAAAATAGATTATTATCAAATTTTAAAATATTCTTAATGATGCCCTTAGTTGCTACTGACACTACTGTGTATAGGCGACATTCCGCGACAAGCTTGACCGCAGCTAGAGGCTATTGCCGCACGGAACATATTGTGTGCACTAGGTAAATAAGCCAATAGCTTATATTTTAAATATTTTATTACCGCGCAATGCATATCTGAAATTTAAATGTGGATTTTCACGTGCATAAATGGTTTGGATATTTAATGTAGTAGGTTATTTATACCAAATAAGTTTTGACAGCATTCAAGCACACGTTACTACGCTGGTTTGCATACAAACGAACTTTGCGTATGCGATATTCTGTATAACTGTTATTAAAGCCCGGCGCACACTGGAGGAAACAGCTGAGCTGAGCTGAGCGTCACTCGTGGCGTTAGCTGAGCTGTTTCCTCAGGTGTGCGGTGTCGTGTTCTGCGATTTTCGCCACGCGTGCCATGAGCGCAGAATATTCAACATGTTGAATAATTTTGTGCACGAGTGAACATTTCCTCACAGTGTGCGTGCGTTCTGAGCTATCAGCTCAGCAATCAATACCAACGCGCATGCGTCTTTTCCATGTTTTACTGAAGTCAAGATGGCGGCAAACAACTCACCAGTTGCTGAAGCAGTGTTGGAAGATACATTGGCCGATTTTTGGCCCGATTACCCTTGTCTGTACGACGTTCGAAGTCCAGACTTTAAGAACCGGGAGATACGCGATAAGGCGCTTCAAGAACTGGCCGAAAAACTCGGAACAACATGTAAGATAATTCAGATTTTATTAGTGTTATTGTAGAAATAACTCAAATAAGAATACTGCATGAGGGAATTCGTACACTTCTGCCTTCTAGCAAGGATTCCTCTCAGTGCAGCAGGTTTTATATGATTCCTTGACGGTTTAGTAGTAATATTGCCTAGAATTTGACATTTTTTATTGTTTATCAAAAATTTTAAGTTATCTGTGATTGAATAAACAAATTCAATTATTATTTATAGGTGAGTGGGTTAAAGCTAAAATCAGAGCTCTGAGCGAGAAACAGCTTTAGCAAAGCAAAAAAAACCCAGCTAGTGGAAGTGCAAGAAAAAATGTGACCAAGCGCACTCAATGGCTGCTTGAGAAACTCCAGTTTCTCACACCTCATGTGGCAACTCGGGCTTCAATTTCAAATATTGATTTGGTAAGCACATACATTGAAGAACTTAAGGCATGGAAACAGTTTGTATATATATATTTATGTACAAAGAGAAAGAAAGTGTATAATAACAGTGCAGTTGATAATAGGGTAGTGATAACTCTTACAATATATACATGTTTGCGTAAGCAATATGGCTAAGCAATCATACTGCTTTGCCAAGGGACAGATCCATGATTATTAAAATAATCAGTCAAAAGTACCCTTTGAGTTTTGGCATCCTTTGTTGCATTGTGCAGGGTGGTTGGTTGCATATTAGTCAAAACCTGGTCGTTTCTCCAGGTACCTCTGACCAATGTATGATCTGCATTCTCAAGGTCTGCAGCTGATGCATAACTTGCTTTGTTCTTTTCAACCATTAAATTGTGCAAGCAGCAAGCTGCAAAAATTATGTCTTTAACTTTGTCGGGTGATAGTTTAATGGTAGTTAGGAATACCCTCCACCTATGAGCTAAAATGCCAAAGGCATTTTCGACAACTCTTCGTGCTATTGACAATCTGTAATTGAAGATACGCTTCTCTTTCTCCAAATTCCGATAAGGGTATGGCTTCATTATACGATTATTACAGGAAAGGCATCATCCCCAACAATATGATGTGGTATCATTTTTGATATCCCTTGTAAGGCAAACTGCATCTGGAAGATCTAAAGAGTTTTTCTCAGTGCTTTATTCAATGCAGAATCAGCAAAAACTCAGCATCACCTGCTCTGCCAGCTGTTCCAACTCAATATAAATAAACTTGTAGTTTGCATCAACCATGGCAAATAAATTACACTAAAAGGTGCTTATAGTTAAGAACTCAGAGCCTGTATCAGCTGGTTGTTGAATAGCAATGTGCTTCCCATCAATAGCTCCCAAACAGCATGGATATTCCACTTCATGTTAATTCTGATGCAATTTGTAGCCAATCTTCTTTATTACTTGGAGTCAAGAAAATAAAATATTAGTTTAATTTTTAGGATTCCCGTGCTAGTTGTAGTACTCCATTTTCGGAAATAAGCTTCAAAGAAAATGATGAGGGTGAAGATGATGATTCTCCTGATCAATTATTTCCAAGTAGCCCAACAAATCCAACAGAGGAAAGTGGTGATCAGAGCATTGGAAGATCAACAAGTGAACCACTGAAAAAAACGAGCAATGTCCAGAAAGAAACAGGCTGAGGAGGAGTATCACCTGATCAAGAATTTGTCTCAGTCTATTGCAAACAAGCAAAAAAAAAGGGAACGACACCATTTATGATGCTTTTGGGAATTATGTTGCCAAAGCTTTGTCTGAATTGGATAAAGTGGCAAGCAATTTGGCACAAAACAAAATAAATAATATTATTTTTCAAGCTCGGCTGGATTACTGACCCAGGAAGTACAGACCCAACAGTCATACAACCCCAACCCAGAGAAATTATTTCCACCCAATCATGCCTGGTACCCCACAAAGCGAACAACCTCCAGTTTATGGGCAAAATAGTATGCCCTACGAGAGGATCACTACTGAAAAGGACAATACATTATTAATTTATATTAATATACTTTTTACTGATACTTGTTATTAATATTTTATAGCTACACAGTTTACAAAATAAATTTTATACCTTTAAATACTTGTCTTTCATAACTTCATGCAAGGCTTGACATGTTTCTTCTACTATGCATGATATTGTTCTCTCACCAATTCGATATTCGAAAGAAAGACTTCTGAATGTCTCTCCTGAAAATGATAAGTTTTAAAAAGAGGCATTCATTAGTAAACTCCGTGTCTGTATAGTAATCATTATTGACAATAATACAACAAAACTGGGAAACAAACTATAGACAAACCTGTAGCTAAAAAACGTAATGTCACGGACAATCGTTCAATGGGTTTTATCGAGCAGCGAAGGTGAGTGTTCTTTTCGACCAAAGGGTTATTAAGGTCAAAATTTCCTGAAATGAAGTTCTGTCTAGGCGATGATATTGTCTGAATTTCTCTGGATCTTCGTAATTCAATTCACGAACAATATT